GCTTACTAAAGCTTTAAGACCATCTGCAAATAAGAGCAAAAATAAATGTATGCCTGAAAACCCCAACATGATTAAGAAAGGAAAAAAGGCAGGGATTATAGTTTATCTACATGGATTTAGTAGGGTACAATGGCATTTTGGCTGACCCTTGAGCACGATGTTATTACTGTACATCCCTGAATGTGCTGTTACCAAAGTGTATGGTAGGAAAAAAAGTGTTTGCAGATTATATTCTCAACTAAAAATAGTAAATGCGTTATAGAGATTATATTCATCCCTTAGGTACTAAATATTCAGGGGTGAAATTTGTTCTAGTCAGGTCATCCTCAAAATCAGTATTGCAAGATTGACTTTTTTGTCTTTTACTTGCTGGAGAATATTAAAAAAAAATTTTTAAATCTAAAATTGAGGAATATGCCTTATTATTTAACAAGCTATTGGCTGAAATTTTATTGCACATACATTATGCCAGCAGCGGTGTAAGCCAATTAATTTAAGCATAGATATTCCTAATTTTCTCACTGCGAAGACAGTCCTTGCGGTCTGTATTTTTTTGGCAATCCTTATCTGAATACTTTATTTCCTGTGCAATGTACACAGCCTGAAAAAACACATGGTGTACTCTGCTTCACTCCATAAGCAAGAAGAGACTGTGACTTGAATGGTAATTCCAAAAGAAACACAATGCCAAGCTGAAAACATAAGTCTTATGCAGTCAAAGCTGGGAGCAATGAAGAGAGCATGCTCAGACTGTCATATTTCATGACATTGCTAATAACTTCTGTTGATTTCAAGAATGGCTTTCATGGGCTGCATGTATATTTTCCTTTACTTCCTTCAAAGCTTAAATGATATTCACAGATGAGGAGAAACGCATCATAATTTGAGCAAATGAATAACAAAGACTTCAGGATCAATTCGTAATCATTTCTTCTTATTTAGCTTCATGCAACACAGTTACTGGGCACTACCCCTTCCAACTTGCTACTGCAATGCTGGATCCAGAGCAGATGTGGGACTGATACAAAGCACTGGACAGCAATTTTAGATTGACATTCAAGCCAGAATGTTAGGCTTTTTCTTTTGGGGAATCTTCGATATGCTGCCTTTTTTTTTTTTTTTTTTTTTTTTTTTTTTAAATATACAAGCATTTTGCAATTGGTTCACCCTGATGCATTTTTCATGACTGAAAAAACGCTCTTGAGAGTCAGAGCTGCAGTAAAGGATTTGTACTTCTGCATTTCCACAGAAAGGACATAACAGACCGCCTTCTGCAATTACCGTTCTTCAGCCTCTCAGATTCAGGAATATTCTTCCAATTTTATAAACCCTACATAAAGCCAAATATAACAATCTGTTACAGGAACCAGCAGAGCTATATTAGGAACAAGCTGTAGCCTGTAAGCATATCACTGATCCTATGTCCATTTTAGGTACCTACAGGATGACAGCTGGGCACTCATTTACAAAGAAATACGGTGTGAGAGTATCATTTTCTGAAGTGGATTCTGATGGATGCTTTAATCCTCTAATCCAAGTCTCTGCTTTACACATACAATGACAGAACTACAGGATCCTTACCACTGGTTTTAATGAAAGGATATATTACAAAAACAAAAATATGTGCAAAGATGAAAATCATTATATGTGTATACTAAGAACAGCTCAACAGCCACATATCAAAGATTTTTTTTTTAGGTGTGAAGATGTTATCGTTTCCTTCAAAGAGTAGTTTGTTTATATTTGGTATGCTATGAGAAAATCCTCTCTGGTTCTGAGCCACACACTATTTTAGCTTAATGCTAAATACGGACACATGAAGGACCCAACTTGCTGCTCACGGGGGTCACGCAGTAAGAAGCAAGTAACCCAAGCCACCTGGCAAGTACGTGCAGGACAGGTATCAACAGCCCTTGACCTACAATGTGAAAACTAACTTACACTGGAATGAAAAAGAACAGTTTAGAAGCTGTCACTCATTCTTCACATTTACTAATGTTCCCCTTCAGGAGCATAAAGTTCTGCACTTCTAATGAACCACCTCCGTGTTTTTCTACCCTGGCTCAGGATTCTCAACTCTTTATGTAAAAGTGCGTCAGAGCAACAAACGCTCTATGTTTCCTTGACTTCTTCAGAATAAATCTCAAAATTAGTTTTAGCTTACTGACAGGATTTTTCACGGTGAAACCTCTGACAGCAATTCACACAACTGAGCTTAAATGATTTGGTGAAAACAGCAAATTGAATTTGTATTTCAACCAATCGAAACAAAATGCATCTTCAAATTTACCCCCAAACCTGCATTTTCTTATAGGTTTTACTCCACTGATAAGTGCATGCCCATGAATGCACAGTTTTGAAGTTTCGGAATCTCATGACAATATCTCAACCAAAGCAACAAAGTCCAGAATGGATTTTGCAGGGCTTGGAGTGCCTTCCTTGCATGCTCTTTCACATAACAAAATGGAGACAAACATGAATGATACAAAGTCCCAAGGTAGTTACATATGTTTCACCTCACTATCACTTCACTAAGAGCAATTAGAATGATGCCTCTCACTTTATGGTTAACACTCCACTGGGATTGGGAAATATTTAATGTATTCATAAGTTTATTTGCATGTAAACAGATTTAGAATGTCCTAAACCTCAGAGAATTACCTGAGAAGATGGGATAAAGGCAGTTTTAATGTGGTTTTGTTTTTTTAAACAGAACACTTATATGATTTTTCATATATTGTCTTGTCATTCAAGTTCATACACACTTCCATGTCAAGTGCCATTCTGTCAGACTGCCCCTCTGCTGCCATCTATCACACATGAAAAAAATTAATGAAGTACTGATGGGAAGATTCAATCTCCACTTCCATACCATCAATATCCACCTCTGATACTGTGGGCCCACATAATAAAATAGGAGGCATTACTTTTGGAGCATCCCTTGTACATTTTGATTATGTGTACAACATGGAAAAACCACAGAACGAAGACAGAATTGGTGTAGCAATTGGATAGATCAGTACGAGGGAAAGGTGTTACAATAGAGGTGTGATGATAGAAGGACTGGCGTGATAGAAAGGTGTTATACGGGAAGGGAAGAACATTGCTCACCTGTATCAGAAGATTCCAGGTTCACGGGGGGGGAAAACTTCACCAAGGAGGGATCTCCAACCAGAGATCCTTCCCCACGGCCAGTCAGCCCTTAAAAGGGGTCTAAGAGAGGTGCAGCCAGGCTCCACCCCTTCCTGTCACACAGCTGAATTGCCTTCACCTGTGCTCCCTGGGCTGAGCTGGTCCTTTCCCCAGGTGCTCAGTGTTTCAATTAGCTTTCCTCAAGAAAACTGTAAATGAGAAGCATTTTGAGGCATACTTGGCTTACCTTGCCTATGATCCTGCTTTCTTTTAAGCATGAATTGCCCTTCTTAATTGTCCAGCATGCAAAGAGAGCGTAGGATTTCTTCTGTTAAGTTATTAGGAGTGGAAATGCTGAATCACTGAATTACAGAATTGCAGGAGTTGGAAGAGAACTCTAGAGACCAAGTCCAACCTCCCTGCTAGAGCAGGTTCCCTACAATAGACTGCACAGGTAGGCATCCAGATGGATCTTCAATATCCCCAAACAAGGAGAGACCACAGCCTTCCTGAGCAACCTGTTGCAGTGCTCTGTCACCTTCACTGTAAAGAAGTTAATCCACCTATTCGCATGGAACTTCCTATGTTCCAGTTTGTGGCCATTGCTCCTTGTCCTTTTACTACACATTACTGAAAAGAGCTTAGCCTCATCCAATTGCCTCTTGCACTTTAGTTACATATAAACATTGGTCAGATCTCCTTTCAGCCTTCTCCAGGCTGAACAGATCCAGGTCCCTCTGCCTTTCTTCACATGGGAGTTGCTCCAGACATCATCATCACGAATGCCCAAGAGAATTACAATAAATTATCTGAACCAGAAGAATCATCTAAAGCATTTATACATGCTCTTTCATAGGAATAAAATATCCTTTCCAAAAACCTTAAACCCGTACATTTTGCTCTAGCAAAAAGTGAAACTCTTCTGTATTTGCATATAAAGTAGTTGAAAAGGTGCATTTATAATCACATCTTGAATGGATTGCCTGAAATTTTTGTTATCTCACGTAAACAATTTTCTCCTATTGAAGAAAGGAATTTTCCCATATTCCCAAGATAAAACTTCATTTTAAAATAGGCATGAATAAACAAAATAAATATAGTAGCAGATTAATTCATGAAGGCAGAAAAAGGAGAACTCATTTCTCATTGCTTTTCTCCTCACATGCTGCAGTCTGAGTCACATCACACACCTAAGAGTAACGCAGTTCTCTGGAATACATTAACAAACTGAAAACCTTGACAGTGTGACATCAAACTTTGTAGGGAGCATCTGCAGATCATGCCTTCTTAGTATACTAGTTAAGAACACAATGATCAGATGTAAGACAGATTATGTTCAAACCAGAGGATTCAACAAATGGCGCTTTAACTCATTTTACATAAGGAAGCCAATACATACAAGGGAGGGATTAAAGCAGGACATTGCAGTGCACTAGCTTGTCTGGCTTGCTGGTCAAAGCAGTTCTTCCTTAGGAAAGTACCAAAGGGTCAAATCTCTACTATAGCTGCTTCTGTAACGGCTGGTAGGGATACTATGTTCTAGGAGAATACAAACATCATTTTAAAACTGAAAATGCCACAGCTCTGACTAGATTACAGATGCCACTGTCACTGTGATTCTTCTCATGCTCTGATGATTATTGCCAATTCATATTGCAATTCAGATAACAAAGACCTTACTCTGTAATGGTACTGTGAATATGTTTTTGGGGGTACTAAACAATTTAAAAATCGTTCCAAACTTCAATCATGACTACAACACAAATGAACAACAGGGCAGGTACTATTACATTCATTTTCCAACAAAATCTTGTTTGAATATTACTATGAATTTATTGAAACATTAAATATTTTACCACGTTACCTACCCTATAGGAAGTCCACCTTCTGAAGCCCTCCGTCTGAGACTTAATTTATGCATCTCAGCCATTTCCCTTAGAGTTTCTGCTGAGTAAAGGCCAATAGGGTTGTTATATTGCCTTGCAGGGCTCAGCTGGCGTACAGGACTATTGCCATCAGTCAGTAGAGGGCTTAGTTTTGAACCTAGATTACTCTTTGCAGGTGAAACATCAGGAGTCACGGACTGAGAGGACATGGAAGATCTAACTGTGGTAGTCTTTAAGTAAGAAGAGCTATTTGAAAAGCTGATCTCCTCCTTGTTGAAGTAGCCTGAAAATGTTCCATTGGTTGCTAAAACACTACCCATAGGCCCAGTCGCCGTGTTAGTTAGAGGACTGAAGGTTGCTCTGTTGCCATTGATTTCCCAAGCAGGTTCCTGTAGTAGCAAACATGCAGGCCAAGAAAAGAAAAAAAAAGAAAAGAGCAATCATAGAACACATGCAAAAAATAATACATCTGCAATCACTGCTTTCTAAACATATTGATAAACTAGCAACAAACGGATTAAGTGCCAAAACATCCAACCTTTCAGGGAAGATTTTCAACAAAGAAGCTCACTGTTTCAAAATCAGGGAAGTAAAACATACTCAAGCACTTTTTATCCTTTTTTTAGTTCAAACCAACAAATTAAAGCTTATTATTAGAAGAGCATTTGCTATTGGTCAGCTTCATAGCAATGATTGTATACAAATACAACACTGTCTATTAGTTTCTAAGATAATTAAGAAAACTTAAAGAATATCCTAAGGTCAGAACTATCTGAAATAATATACAAACATAAAAGTCAATCTTATTATTACAAAAACATAATTATTCTAAACCACACCATTCTATTTTTCATGAGTACACTTAAAGTTATTGAAGCCCACACCTTGCATTGCTTTCACAGGCTTTGGTTCATGCTGATTAGGCCATGCAGCATTGTTAGCAAATAGACCAAATGGATTCAAGAATAGATATCTGTTCTACAGACAAAATGCCTCTGTATTCTGACAATTTCTGTATAATTTCCACTTGAATGAGTGTGTGCATGAGTACATGGCTGATGGCTTTATGATCCTATGGCTACATCCCAGATAGTGTTTCTAACTAGGACTGCAGTCAAAGTCACAGTAAACTCTCCTAACAATAACTACACTCACAAATGTCTGTGCTGGTTCTCAAATTAGAAGTGTACTAGCAGAAACTAGTAAACTTGTATAAGACAGTACTATGCTTCATTTTAATACATGATTTAGTATTAATGCAGTTTAGTGCAACTGAAGTAAAGGGAAATATCAAAATAGAAAAATAATGCTTCTCCTGCAACATGAAGAAGTAATACTTATCAAAAAACCCACCTGAACATCAGTTAGAAAGTGCATGTAAAACTTCTGTTCTCACATTAGCTAAAACATCCTTTTCCTTTTTCTGCCCTTCAGTTCAAACTTATTTTGGTATAGCACCATCTAAATCATTGGAACTGGAAAGCACTGAGCACTTCACAGGACACACTGAGCACACTTAGGGTTAAACCACCCTTTAGTTCCAGCTACTAGCAGGGTGCAGTGACTGCAGTTCTGTGTTTTTTGGAAGGCTGCCTGCTTATAGTATGAACAATTTTATCAAAGAGTGATATAAACTGCTCTTTCAGGTGGGCCTTTTATAACTTTGCTCTCTGTTTTCTTATTCTTTTTATCTAATATTACAATAATAGAAAACTACTAGTGCTTTGGATATGTATATTAAAAAAAACCACTTTTTACCATTCTGCTTGTCAGCTCTTTGTCTTGACAATACCTAACTCTGAAGTTTCCTTTTTTCATTTAAGCAAAGCACCATCTTCATGTTTTAACTTGTCTGTTCAGCAGGTCATGCTCCCTACACCCAGCATCTTTGAAAATGTTTTGCATTTGTAGCTTTGGGAAGGTTTCCTCATGCAACATGAAGAAAATGTTAGCATGATCAATTATAAAAATTACCCTATCTGGGGTATGATGCAGAAGTGTTCCATGTTTGAGGAAAAAAAGGTTTTCAGAGGCACTCACTTCTGTGACTTTAAATGGTTCTCAACATTTAATGGTGTATTCTGAAATATCTAATGCTCTTGTCAAAGCTGTGGTTGACAAGAAGAGTAAGTAAAACAATTTTTACAATAAAAAATTTTTGACAGCCCTTCTGGCAATGAAGGGAAAAAACAGAAGTTAAAATCTTAAAGGCTCAGTGACAAGCAAAATTCTAATACTAATACTAATAACATTTTTCCCATGCTTGCTTTTCGAACCTAGAATCCTGAGTTCAACTCACCCTGTGCATCTTTTAAAATAAGGAATTAAATAGTTTCAAAAGCAGCTACTTTATTATATTTTTTGGGTCTGTAATTCTGTAATTTGGATAAGATATTCTATAGCTGAGATGCCCAACAAAATATTTTAGTGCTTCGCAACTTACAGGTTTCTCTAGAGCCCATAATAACCACTTGAATTTTATCTGAGAGGCTTAGAATCCTGGCTCCAGTCTTAATTGGGTTCTGCATGTTTTTCTAGAGGAGGATCACTCCCATGTTTCTCTCTGTACCTGCAGCTGTAACAGGTGCCCAGGTACCCACACGCTCACAGTTCAGAGATCCAGCCAGCCGGAGGCTGCAGTCCACCTTGGGGGACAGGAACAAGAAGGGGACACAACTCTGAAGAAAGGACAGAGCTCACAAGCTGCTCTCAGTGAAAGCTAGTACAAGAGCAGGTAGTAACCTACAGGGACATTTTGCCTGCTTTGGACTGGCACTGCTGTGTTTGCCATATTTAACATACTACATGCACTTCCCCATAGCCTTACATGAGCCATACACCTGCAAATAATTTAGCCTCTGATTCTCTATGTTTGCTGGTATAGGTTACCATTAAACTTCTTTACTTCGATACTGAGGTTCACTAGAAAGATATATATATTACTTTACCCTCTTAGATTTTTCTAAATTGCATATTTAAGATTTAGGGAGGTTGAGTATATTTGGAAAATCAAGATAATATGAACTGATCAGTTATAACTAATTGTAGAAGAACTAACCCATCCAAAGCTAAATATGTGGGAGAGAATTATAACATTAATACATTTAGAATGTTTTGAACCAAATATTGCAGTCCAATAAAATGAACTTAGAACTTTTTTGTTAATAAACATGAAGAGATTTTAGCTGGCATTAATAGCTGCCTGGGGCTGTAGAAATAAATGTGAAGTGCTATTCCTTTTAAAGTTAATAAATAAAATGGAATTACATGCTCCAATCATCATATTGCGAAGCTGAAAACAGCAACCCACCAGTCTTAAGTGGCCTACTGCATGTTTCCAAGTATTACTGAATAAATAGAAAGCACTTATTGTCTCTCAAAATGTTTTTTAAAAGCAGCAAACACACAAAGCTGTGTTCTCAAGCTAAGTCACCACTTGTGCAAACGAACGTTGCATGCTAGCTGAAAGGGGACAAATAATAAAACAGTACAGAGGTGATTGACTAGAAAAAGTATCTGAAGGAGCTATATTAGTTTGTTACATTGAAAAATCAGTGGCTTCTATCTATGTTTACTGTGAACTTCCTTTCTAAACCTTGGAATAAAAGGACATGCAAATAGATCTGACTATACAGCATCCATATTATAGAACTGCCAGTGAACTAAAATCCAGATATTTCATTAATCAGAACTCATTTTCATTATTTTAGTGTTACTGAACACTAACAGTAAGTGAAGGGAAAATTACAGGGAAGCCCTAAGAAACAACGGCTGATGATTTTACCAAGCTTTATGACATAAACGAACCTTTGCTTTCATTCCACAAGCAATTTCTAGCTGGAAGAGTAGCACACTAGCAACTCATTACTAGAGTTCATAGTAACCCAGCAGTGCCAGGTTAGCATTCTCCACTTTAAGTTAATACTCGTGTTAGTTCAAGTGTAGGGTGTTTCCCCTTATCTGGGGAGAAAGGGATGAAACACGAAGTGGATAAAAGAGCAGTGATACAATTTCTTTTCCATATTCTGCCCAATAATCACCTTACTATCTCTTTGCTGTTGTGATCCCTCATCCTGGAATTGTTCCTGGGACTACATCTTAGAATAAAATACTGTTCTTTCTCTATTTTTTTCTTTCAGGTCAGTCACCACAGCAGATCAATACAGGAAAACAGTTTTTGAAATATGAAGTTCAGATTTCTAATGCTGAGTAGCAGCATTACTTCTCAGGAAACACAGCCAACAGTAACAAGCACCCCCTTGTTTCCCAACTGTCTCTCATCCCAATCTGCCTTGTCATCACTGCGGCTGGAAGGGCAAGATGACGTTTGCAACTATGCCAGTGTGTTGCTACTCTTCAGGCGACCAGAAGAGGAGGCTCTGGCATTGAGCAGTGGGCTTGCAGAAATCTACTGCGAGGGAAAACTGGGTTTTAATTTCCCAGCGTAATGGCAGTGAATGAGCTTAAAACTGACAAATGCAGAGGAATCTCAAACATTTGGGAATTCAAGGAAGCAACAAATCAGTTCAGTTTCTATTCTGCAATATTATTAGTTCTTTTTCTTATAGATATTTCTGTGAAGAGCAAATTCTGCTTTTATATATTGGAGAAGCGAGAAACATTTATATAGAAAAATACTTCACCGGTTTTTCAGGTCCCTTTTTTTGAAAGCTCAAGTACCTTTTGTCTCTTTCTTATAGTCCATACAGTCTTTATTATAAATGACTCTGGCTTTTAGCACTTCTGGGAGAATGGTTTTACATCTCTTCCACTACAGTAATGAATTTGACCTCCCAGCATGCCCAAGAAAAAGGTGTTACTTTAAGCTTTTTATATAAAAGAGAATAGAGGCACAATGGCATTAAATGAGTCTGCTCAAAGACACTCAACAAATAGCTTTTGGCTCAGCCTTCTCTTCCATAGTACAGCTTGCTAAAGAGACCTATCCTCCCTTCATCTATTTTCTCTTAGCCACATGGGTACCTAAATTTGTCAGGAAACAAGTCCTTAACATTATGAGATCCTCAATGGGATTCTGTAATGTGTGTGTTCAGGAAGGTAGTTATATTATAACAATTAAAGAGGCTTTCTTAATACCTTTACACAAAGGGAAAAATGTTAAATCAGTGCTTAGCCTTAAAGGCTCGGGTCAACTACTTTGAACTGCGCTGAGCTGAATCCTCACCTGTATTATGCACGCTTGAAAAGCTGGCAGCAGCTCACTGACTGGTAATGGCTTCATCTCAAGTCCTTGGATTCATACCTACTCTTCTCTCTGTTTGAATGCTGTTAGCCATAGTTATCTCCTCCTCCTCCACCTATGCTACATCTGTGGTGACATATCTGATTAAAACATCACAAATCAAAACTGTTTCAAGTTTAAGACTAATGTTAGAGAAGAAAATACTGGAACTGCAAATCAGTTTAACTCTTATTTTCAGTAATATCCTGCAGCTCAGCTGAAGCCATACTTATAGTTGCAGAACTTGTACCATCTGTAACATCAATCAGCTAAAAAAGGTAATTAGAGAATGTATTGCTTGGGATAGATAGGAAAAATCCTATTGTCCTTCCTTACATCTTTTTTTAAAAGATGCACCTTTATTTCTCTTTAGTGCAGAAAGTGATGACCATAACAAAGAAGAAACACATGCTTCAAAATTAGTGGAAGCTACATTCTGATCAGAATAACATACACAAGAATGTATGGTTTATAATAAGACACTGAACTTGCACATGCAGATTTTTTTTTAGCTAACATTGCCGTGGCTTAACCTTCACCAGAAAGAGGTAAGAAAAACTTCCCTTGATGTTTGAGGTCAGCACTGTCATGATTTGTTTCGTAATGTCATTTTTTGCTATCTTGGTAAGGCAACTTAACTCTTTTCAAGTGAACCATCAAAGTCTAAACGTTGTCAAGCAGTGATGTGGAGGTGGCAGCTTCTTGCATATGTGTCAAAGAACATTTCTACAGTGACAGTGTTAACAGGAATAATATAGGGATAAACAAAGAAACATTGATTTTAAAGTGTACTTACTGTGTAACATATCTTATTGTGACATCCTCACACTGCTGTTTGTGCCACTAAAATTTTATTCTGGATTTTGAAACCTATTTTCCAAAGGGTCAATGCCTTCATTACATTCCAAACCATCCTCAGAGAAGAATTCCACTTTCTGCACTCAACATTACCTTTATTACTTTATAACAACTAAACTCACTGTTGTCCACTTCAACTATTTTTCCATTACTCAGATAAAAGTCTTAGGCCAGGAAGACATACTGCTGGCTTTCAGTAGGCTTGTTTTTATATCTGGTCAGCAACTTCCATGCTCCAAAACAAAACTGTTACTCCTAACCTGCTAATGGCCCCCCACTCCAGCACTCCACTGCTGCCTGTTCCACTAGGTTTTTTTTAGGCAGGATCTCTGGCCTGTTTGAATACTGTCAGAAAACCAGATCCCCACCATGCCTTCACGTAGATGTCACCTTCTCCAAATAAAGGTGCTACAAATTCTCTTTTCCAGCTGCAACTACTGCTTATACCCCATTCAGAATCCTACCTTCAGTAGCTGCTATAAGCTTTTCCTAAGCCAGGATACACAGAATGCTCAAGTGTAAGACGACATGCTCTTGAAAAAGAATCAGATCCTGTGGTATTATATCACTTAGGCAGATCAAAATAGGAAACGTGAAGTGCATTTTATGACTTCTGTGTCAAAGGTGCTTTTAAAAACCTACAGTGTGTAGAGTTAATTCTTCTATAGGGTAGTTGGATATGGAAAACAGTTTTGTGTAGTAAGCAGCTTTGAATGCCTATGGCAATAATTTTCAAATTGACAGCTGCTATGGAAGGATCATGCCTAAAACAGAACTGTATAAATAGATTCATTTTTATACAGGCTTTTATAGGCCTGCAGTGAGAGTAGTCAAACTTGTCATACCTGTGTAGGTGTTAGTGAAGGTCTCAAAAGAGAGTCACCAGTCTTGCATTGGGGAATAGCTCTGAAGAGAGATCGTGTACTTGTTGCCTTGAAAACTAACAGCACTCTGCGTAGTTCTTAAAGGAAAATAAGGACTTGATTCCCCTTCCTGCCCTGTATTTTGCTGGTGCATTGGAACACCAATCTAATTGAAAGAATGATCCACCCTTTTTTTCCCCAGGAATTTCTAAGTACTGTTTGGCACGTCTTCCAATAACTTTCTCCTAGATAACACTTGTAAAATCATGATATAAGGAGAAATAACTCTGAGCAAGATCAATTATTGATTTCTTCCCTCACCAAAAAGATTACAAGATCCAGAATGAAGTAACATTTTTTCTGACTCAACTGATAAACAGCTCTTCAAGTTCATTTCAAATTTAGCAAAATAAAATTGACTCAAATTATTCTTCCCGGTTGTGTTTTCTAGCTTCTTGCTAGCTTCTATGTGCCCATGGTAGTTACGTGGATGATGCCAACTTCCTAAGTTTTGAATTTGGAAAGTATGGTGTTTATTTTAAACAATGTTTTACAAATTATCACCAGAAATTTGAACTATTAAAGTAGAAGGAGATCACCTAGTTCCCCATGCCTTTTGATCATGAATGTTTCTTTCTTATGTTACAAGGTTGGGATGAAACTGATGCAGAATGAATAAAATTGCAGTAAGGGAGATTTTACCTCCTCTCCATTTATCTAATTAAACCCATCACCAATACAAACATCCTCCTCAGTGCTTTAGCCTTAAGGATGTATACCATCTGTCAGGCACCCTAACTCCTCAGTTTCTCCAAAATATATCTGATGTCTTGTCAGAGAGTCACTGAATGGTTGTTCAAATACAAACATTTAAATTATGGAAACTAACTACATTTAAGAACAGAAGCCAAGCCATCCATTTCCTCTGCCACTTGCTGTTATTCACTAAATCAACTCATCGTTTTATTTCGATGTTTGTTGAACAATGCAACAAGAATGTGATATGGTGCAAATCTTCAATTCTCTGGTATGTCTGTGTTTCAAATCAGTGCATTTCCAGTTGTAGCCTGGATTCAGTTACACTGAGGCACAGTCTAAAGGGTTTTTCCCCAAGAACAAACAAAAACAAGTGTCTGTTTTCAGCATTTGGTAGCCACTTTCTTACATGAAAAAAGTCAGGAAGACAACAGATTCTTTGCTCAGAATGAGATCATAGGACAGCTAGATGCCTTGGTTCTGTTAATCAGAAACTAGCAAAATATAGGTCATCAGGTACATTATAATCAGTTTTGCTTCCTATGCGTTCATTCAATATTTATTTAGGATGGACAAAATATATTTTCAGTAGTAGGTATTTACCTTCACTGTGGTAGATAAAAATGTTAACTTTGGCTGAATGTAACTGTGTCACATACCTTCTGGTGGGGAATTACAGCTCTGGGTGAGTCAATTTTGGGTGGTGTGGTTGAAACTGGCACTGGACGTTTCGATCTGAGGATTAAAAAAAAAGATTTTGCAATCAGAACTCTTTTTTCCCAGATAAAATTTTACATTTCTTGCAAAAATGCTACTTCATCAGTAGTGAAAATTAGGCAAAGCTAGTACATTTTCTAGTCATCATAAAGCTTTTTCCATGTTCTCACTAGCAAAAGTCTTAGATGTGAAAAATAATGCCTGATTTAGTTTCTCTGAACAGTGAAAAGCCTTCCACTTTGCATCACCCATTTTCTAGTACCTTATGACTGGATTTTTACAGATGCCAGCTAGCTGTAACAGGAGATAAACTCATGTTTGGACAGCATTCTAGAAAATGGGACTTAAAGTGGCTTAAAATGCAATGACTATGCTTTGATACTGAGGCATGTCAAGATCAACTCCTCAAAAGATTATGACTTTATAGTCTCAACAGTAGATCACTTCACTCCAAATACTCACCACCTTCCATCTGTGTTTGACAAATACATGAGGATTTTAAAAACTGAAGTAAACCATACCGAAATATTTGCAAAACACACAATGCACCCTTTAATTGGAATATAACAAAATCAATTTAGCAGATTTAAAATGTTAACTAAGTACTTCAGGATGCTCAGAAAGTGAAGATGTATTGTGAAGGTTTTGAGAACTTCACTGAATGCCCTTCTGAAATCTTCCCAGAAAATGAACTGAAGAAAGTACAGGTAATCAAAGGAATCACAGTTCTGCTATTGCTGTGCTATTGCCAACCCACAGATTAGAGTTATATTTCAAAACCTCATCCATTAAAAGTATATTTTGTAATATAACAAAAATGAAATAAAAGTACTTAAAATCACACAAAACTGTTACTGAAGTAGAATTAACTAAGATGTCTGCAAACGTTTGCTTTAGAAAATAAATGAATAGAAGACATTGTACAAGTTAGGAAAACAGTGAACAGTAGGAAAAGGAAAAATAAAGCTATGCTGGACATAAAGTAAAATTGAAAAGACAACATATATACAATTGGTAGAAGGCAAAATTTGTTTCCTAGAGTAGTTGATTAACCTGAAGTAAAATTTAACGCTAGAAGACAACATTGAGACTACAAGAATAATAGGCCATCAGGATGGATTAGATAGTTATCCCTATAACAAAAACACAGAAGATGCTTTTGGTCCAGTAAAAATATGTAGCCATACAGGTTCTCATTTTTCATAGCACAACTAAGACTGATAAGGGAAGATATTCCATTTTAGGCTCTTTATTTCCTTACTGAGGGCTGTGTTGCTCTTTCCAATGACATACCTAACAAGGGCAGCTACTGGAGAGAAAAAACTGAGAAAGACAAAAGCTGGGGCCAGTCATAGTGGGAATCCGTGTGTTAAAACATAGCATCACACTGAGCTGTGTATTTAGCTTTAGTTGCCACATATAAAATGAATTATCTTCACAGGAACTGGAAGATTTCTTAATGGAGAACAGAAATTATGTGACTCTTTTAACCTGCCCACAACACAGGGGCTGGAACTAGATGTTCTCTCAGGTTCCTATCAACCCAAGCCACTCTATGAATGTATAATTTCTGAAGCAGGAGGCTAGAAAATCGTAAAAGGCACTAATAAGTGATATTTACAGATTGCATATATTGTAATATAATATCAATCCAAGAAAGGCTTCAAGTTCCAAGAACGAAAGTTGATTGCTAACTGCCTAGAAAAAACTTTCCTCAGTGATGCATTATTAACCCATCTTTTTTCAGAAGTGCTTCCACCAACCATTTCAGCTAAGAGAAAAAAGAAGTCATTTAAGATGTGCACACTCATCGCAAAAGAAAATAAAGTAAGCTCCAACCCAGAACACAGAGAGTTGCAAAAAAAACTAACTGAAAAAATTTATAAATAAGTAAAGATTTAGGGGAGATTCTGATCCTCCTTCTGTTAGTACCCAGGTATTTCTGTGAAGTTACTGAGGGGGTCCTAGACATAGTCAAACCCAGAGCCAGGCAGCATGGGCACTGAGTGTACCTTCTGCTCTATCCATTGATCATGAATTCTAGTGCCAAAGTTGCTCAGCAGTGTAAATGCTTTTTGTTGCTTTTACATGCAGTACAAACAGCTGCATACAGCAAGTTTAATGCTTAACTAGAAAATATTTGTATTGCATTATCCTGGGCTGCATCAAGAAGGGTGGCCAGCAAGGTGAGGGAGGTGATTGTCCACCTCTGCTCTCGTCAGACCCCATCTAGAGTACTGCATCCAGGCCTGCAGTCCCCTACAATTCTGCTGCTTATTTTATCTCTATTTTTCCCAGTCATTACTTCACCACAGAAGATGCTAAGGAGCTTTATTTCTTTCAAACGTTGCTCATAAACTACCTCTGCCATTTACAGTGTTATCCAACAAAGATTATTATTCCGCACCAACTTGAAGATTTAAAGATATTACTTTAGAACAAGAAGTGTTCCTACATAACTCTGTCTTGGATGTTTGTAACTGTGATATTTAACAACAGAATGATAAAGCTTGCTAAATTTGGCACAGGTTTGCATCGGAGAAAAGGGCAAAAGAGGTGAAGTCAATTTGTGGAATGAAAAATGTATGTACTTCTAAAGTGATTATTTACATAAGAGCTATCATTCCTCAGGGAAAATATACTGCACGTTCAGGATATTTTTTTCTCCCTTCTTTTCTAGCCATATCCTGCGGCACCACTAACTTAGATTTTTTGCTTTTCAAGTCACTAAGGTGCTGCTGTACGTGTCTGTCTCAGCTTACATTTTAATTCATTGACTGCAAAATTATTTTCTTCCAAAAACCCATGGAGTACACTCAGTTTGTAGAGTTGCGAAGAATATGGAAGTCCAAATTCTACAAACGATTGTGATAGTTATAGATTTGGTGTTGAAATATTCCAGGAAATTTTTTTTCCAAGTCAAAGCAATTGATTTGTTTTCAACTTGTCCACATTTTGTTTTCTAGTTTTAAAGTTAAAAGTGGAAATGAAAGGCTTGTTTCTTTCTCAGCCTTAAAAAAGCCCAAATACGTAATCCCAGAATTTTTTTAATTCTTCCCTAATATCTCCTGTTCCGGGAAATATCTCTGCCTTACTGAAGTTTAAAAGCAGTAGGGATCTAGTTTTGAGAAGCAGTTCAATTTTGTTAGTACTGTTGATATAACTGTCAAAATTTCTACTTGTTCCCATCTACCTAAATATATCTTTAATCAAAGAGCACTTGACTTCAATTCTATTATCCTTGCACTCACAACAAATATTCATTAGGACTCAGCTGCACTGAGAGGAGCTGCCTGCTTAAGGAAGAGCTTCCATAGCGTTCGAATTCTGTAATGCAATTACAGCTTATCCCTACTCTCAGGAGCACATCACCATACTTGGAGACAGCAGATACGATCTAACAGCTGATAGCTCTTTTTCATGTACATGGCATTTTTTTGTAGTTGATAACTTTGGCAGTCAGTGTCCACCTCCACTTCTTGGATTCTCAGGACAGCTAAAATCATTTTTACATTAAGCTCTTGTTGTTACTTCATTATATATGTGACCATCTATATACACTGATTAAGATGCTCAAAATGTGTCTTACTGTCTCAAAACTTGAAGAAGGGGGGGGGTCTATAGAAAGGTAATAAAACAAATCAACTACAAAATATTTTGAAATCATTTTACCTACTTTACATATCTCCTAATTTAATAGAGTGGGTCACACTGGACTTTGGATACATATCAATTAAACGCAGTAATATTAATTTTGGGAAAACAGAAGTAAAATAGCTAGACTAGATATTCTTCATGGTCATCACTTCAATATGTCCATCTTCAGCCAAACACTGAATGAAATATCATGCACAGAAGCTACCTACTGATTCTAAGTCTTGCAGGGTAAACCCCAAGTCTTGTGATCCCACAGTTTAAGCTCACTAAGCTCTTCCTGTACATTAGCAAACAGGCTCAGCATCCTTTATGAGAATCACAAATACAAAACCCACAATACTTCATATATCATTGTGATCACTTTGGGGCTAGGATGAAGCCTAGTTTCACCTTATCAAGATAGCATCTGTACCTGCATTGAAATTGATAAATACTTCCATCAGCAGTTTTGCTCTATGTCAACAGTAATGCAAATATTAGCATTTGGATGCATGACTGACTTGTTAATTATTTCCCTGCATTGCACTACACTCAGATGGACTGCAGAACTGGCAGTTATAGTTTTCAGGCCTGTTGTTCGTACCCATAGCATTATATGAACAAAAATACTCGTAAATGTCATCTCTAAGTAAGCAGTTATCCAAAAATCTGTGGAAGAGAATGTTTACAAGTACGTAATATCTATTTCCTTTAGAAGGGATTTGAGCAAAGGGTAGATGTAAATATTACAGGACAGAAAAAGAAAAAGCAGAGAAATCTTGGTGAGTTTAGCTTAAGGAAGGAAAGGGAAAGTGAGAAAAAGTACTTGTGAGGCTGTGAGTTTTGAAAATGAGTACATATCTATAGATTCTGAAGCAGCAAACAAATTCTACTCTCCTGTTTTCTCTTCAGCTCCCCCTTGTCCCACTGGATGACACCTACACATCTTTTTTACTCTTTCCCTTTCTCTTGTGAGACAAAAACTCTTCACCTGAATTCCCTTGTATTCTGCCCTTGAGCTGTTCCCTCCTGGAACTAATGCTTCCATTGCCTCCCAGTTGATTCAGTAACAGCTCTGAGATTCCTACACCCCAGCATCAACTGAGGGCAGAATTCAGATTGCTCAGCTGTAGAGAAGAGTGTTAGAGAATCACAAGGGAGACACTGAAATAGAATCACAATAATCAGGGAGGGTTCAGAGCTTAGTAATCTCACTTTAAATCTCTGACAATTCAGTAGTTATTTATTATTCATGATTGCATTTATTATTTCTAATTACTGCCAGATGCTAAAAATAAATGTAATTAAGGTGAAGAAGCAAATAATGAAATAATTTGTTAGTGTAAGAAGAGAAGAACAAAACATTTAGGTTGTGAAAGGAT